GGCCTGCCCGGCGCCCGCCCCCTTGAGCCTGTGCCGCGTGAGACGCTGGCTGGGCAGCTGTGGCTCGGCTCAAAGGTGCCAGGCCAAACCGACTTCTCCATCCATTGGTGTTGGGAAGCTTACAGATACAGGATAAAAGAAATGAAGGAGTAGGCTATAAGAGGAAGAAATAAATAAGTCTCTGGGAAGGAGCAGAGATTTCCTGGGGATTTGGGTGCCACGTCTCGTGCTCCTTTCTTGGCTCTTCCTGGTTTCTGTCGTGGCGATTGTGGTGTCCTGGTGCCGGGGTGATGGGATGACAGTGAAGGTCGAGGAGGTCCGAAGGCTCCTGTGGCAGCTGTCCTGTGCACAGCAGGTTGGGGCTGGCCCACCTGCAGTGACTTCCGGCCTACAGGCATCCTGTTCTCACAGATGAGCAGGGAAGGGGGGCGGAAATTCAGCTAGGACAGGGTAGCAGGAGCATATATCAACTTCTGAAGCAATAGTCTCCAGCGTGTTTTTGGGTGTTTTGGGCTCGTCATCATCCCCACTTTCTTCTTTCTTTATTCCACAAACATTCTAGTCCGTGTTAGATTCGGAGGATGGAGGAAGAGCAGATGCATTCCTTACTGATGAAACCCAAAGTCTAGTTAGGAAGCCAAAGCAGTAAATGCGGTACTAGAAGTGCTGAGAGAGAGGTGCACAGAATTATCCATTGTATAAATGTTTAGTAATCTACCCACGGTGTGGAGGTGTAAATCAGTTCTCTGGCAGCACAGTGATGGGCAAAAAAGGAGTTTGCGTTCTCTTGGAGTTAACATCCATTTTGAGTTCTTCTTGAATAGCACCAGTCAAAAACAGCTTCCCTGGCACTGTAGGAAAAAGAACGCCCTGCAGGCTGTGTCTCTTCGGCGCCCCTGTCTTATTTTTATAACTTCACCAGCATCACATGAGTCCGTGCTTACTTGCTGGGTTCCTTCCATGAAGGCAGAACCCTTCCTCACTGCTGCTTCCTCGGTGTGGACAGCAGCAACTGGATGTAGATCGGTCATAAGGAACAGTAAACTGATGCGTGAATGGAGCCAGATGACAAGCACAGCAGAGCAGACGAGAAGCTATGAGATGGTGAGCAGTGTTTTCTGGCAGAAAGTTCAAAGCCAGGCGTGACCGGGTGCCCTGACAAGGTTGCGTGTATGCCGAGTGAGGTGACCCGTGACCGAGTTCCCAGCGCCGGTGCTGCAGGTGGACCTGCTCCTGGGCGATGCTGGGACTGGAGGGCCCTGCGTGCCGTAGCCTCCCCACCTGGGGTCTAAAACATGTCAGGAAGAAGGGCCTGTGAGGTAAGGGGAAAGCCGAGCAGATCCCTAAATGGGAAGTGAGTGCCTGTGTACCAGGAAGCTGAAGGTTCACACAGGGACCAGGGACATAGCTCAGTGGTGCCACTCCTGCCTGGCAAGCGCAAGGTCCCGAGTTTGATGCCCAGTACTGAAAAAAAGTTTCAACGGCTGCAGTGTGGCACGAGTGCTGGAGCAATAGGCACAGCAGGGAGCAAGCAAAGCAGAAACGCTGCCCTCCACCAACAAAGCAACACTAGCAGGGCGGTGGAGAATAAAGTACCTTAAATCTTCAGTGTGCGTAAAACTGCAGCTGGCAGAATTTTTCTCCTCAAACTTCTAAACTTTTATAAAATAAGCAGAAGGGGTTCCCAAATTTAATAATTGCCAGAATAATAATTTTTTAGTAGTAATAATTATCAGAAATCTGTCAGAATGCAGATTCACAAATCCTCCCCAGCCCTGGAATCTCTCCCTGTGGTAGAAATGTGGCATTTACTCTTCGTGCTGCTAGTGACTCTGAAACTGGAGCTCCCAGCACCACCTCTGGGAAGCACTGACAAAGGAGAGGAGAGGGAGGTGGGCCTCAAGGTGAGCCGTGCGCTTGCTTTAGCTCCCGTAAGTCTCCGTGGAGTTAGAGAACCACGGCCGGGAACCCTGGCGCTCGCTTTCCCGTGCGCTCTCCTGTCTCTCCTTCCTCGTAGGGTAGCGCCAAGCCTCCACATACGGGCTGTGATCCGGCGCAGTGGCCTCGGGGGAGAGATCAGGAGGCAGTGGGAGCAGACCTGGTAGAAGCAGATGGGGGCCTACTGCCCCTTTTCTGGAACGGTGCTGGGTGCGCCGGGGTCTGCTGCATGTGGCCCTCGGTTCCGGCTGAGAACAGAGAGGGTGACTGCCTCGTGCTGCTCCGTACAAGCATCGGTGTATTCGGCGTGTTCGTAAGTTCTTTCCAGGGCCTTTGGAACACAGCAAAATCTGGCCTCGTTCTCTTAGTGTTTTCATTGCTGCATCTCTTCAGCTGCTGCGGGTCTGGAAATGACTGCTGCCCTGCAAAGTCCATCAGAACAAACGTATGCTGGGCTCACATCACAGGCCGGACACATTAGTGGAAGATATAAATACTCCTGCCTCCGGGGGACCCACTGTCCTTCAGATACGGTGCCGCTTTCCATATTCAGCACCCCCAGCTGCAGGAGTTACGAAGTTTGTAGCTGCTCCCTCTTTGTGCACGCGGTGCTGGGGGAAACCCAGAGCCTCCCAAGTGCTAGGCAAGTGCCCTGTTGCTAAGCGGCACCCACAGCTTGTGAACCATTTAAAATTCTACCCAAGATTTCTGCATAATTTATTGTAGAATTTACTTGCTCACCTCATAGTCAACGGCTCCACACAGCACACACTTTTCCCTCCACCCCCCCCCCACCCCCCACCTCCTTCTAGGCAAGTGCCCTGTTGCTAAGCGGCACCCACAGCTTGTGAACCATTTAAAATTCTACCCAAGATTTCTGCATAATTTATTGTAGAATTTACTTGCTCACCTCATAGTCAACGGCTCCACACAGCACACACTTTTCCCTCCACCCACCCACCCACCCAGAATTCTTTCCTCTTTGTTCAGAAACAAGTGGTCCCTCTCCAAACATGTCTTGTCGAATTCACCCTCTCCGCGCACTAGGCAGGGAGCCACTTCTTTAAGACATTTCTGCCGCCTTCCTTCGGCACCAGGTGCACCCGGCCCTCTTGCTGCTTCTCGGGCTGTTCTGTCTTGCCCTTCGCAGGTCCCTCCTCCAGCTCACCTGCCCTCCAAGAGACTCGCTGCAGGCCCTCGTGGTCTCTGTGGCTCTCGTGCCTCTCTATGCCAGTGAGTCCTGTGTACATAGAGCCAAGCCAGACTTCGCTTCCGACGTCTTTGCTCAGACTCCACAACAGGAGCTCAGCACCCCTGAAATTCAGGTCCAGACTGCAGAATCCCGGCCATGATGAGGAATGCGCTCTCCACCCCGCGTATAAGTTCTTTCCTCCTGGTCGTTCTCGAGCTCTCCGGTGGCTCTTCCGTCTGCTCCGTCTCCTCTTGCCACACCTGCTTTGGTTTGCTTTTGCAGCTCCAGATTCTTGCATTAGCCTCCATCTCTGTGGTTGCCTTCTTCAGATGGGGTAGCAAATCACCTGCACTGGTTTTGCCATCTTTTAAAGAGCTGGGCATGGCGGTGCACAGCTGTAATCCCAGCACTGGGGAGGCCGAAGCAGGAGGGCTGCCAAAAGGTCAAAGCCACCCTGGACTACACAGCAAGCCCTTGTCTCAAACAAAGAATTAAAAATAAATTTTAAAAGAGCAGCTTTGAAAGTGTCCTAAAAGTCCTTGAAATGGAGCACAGACACATTAACTTAGAGCTGGAGCTGGGATTCAAATCCAGGTTATAGAGTTGTTAAAAGAGTAGCGTTTACCTCTTTAACAGGGTCATTTAAAACAAAAACTTAGCCATCCGAGAGTCCAGGTGGCCCTAGAGTCTCACGTGTAGCTCCAGCCCCCGCCCTCCCATGCTGCCCATGTACTGTCTGCCCCACGGCATCTTTCCAGCAAACCTGTCACTGCTGCCTGCCTGAAATCCTGGTTTCTAATCTGCAAGGATAAGATCCCAGTGCCTTCAGCGCGGTATACATCTTGGACCTCTGACGTCTGCACCTCCTCTGGCTTCATCTTCTACCATACCCACCTCGCAGCCCTGAGCTCCGCCCTTCGGAAATGCTGTTACTCGCTGTTCGTGTGGCTTCCTGGAAATCTCCAACCCACTTCTCCACCTCCTCCCCTCTCCTGGGAAGCCTGCTCTCAAGGCCAGCCAGGTGGCCTACAATGCGTGACCTGTGTCACACTCTCCCCTCCTACCACTGTTGTCTTTATGATTCCCTTCTGGTTTATGTTCATCCCTTCCAGGGCAGATGCTTAAGAATGGACCTTATTTTCCCCAGAACTGTAAGAATGTGACTGACAAAGGAACGGACAGAGGGATGAGCAGATGGAGGCCAGTGCTGAGGACAGCAGTGTCCTCGTTGCCGGGGAGGCTGTGGTCTGCGGGGCTTCGCAGACTTCTCGTATTTGATACGCAGCGGTGGCGCGTTCCACCCTGAATCCCCTCCTAACTAAACTCTGCCGCCCTGCCACGTGTCATCCAGAAGATGCAGGAAACCCTGAGTTTCTGCGGCACAAAAACCGTATGATGTGAAAAGCGCTGCTGCCAAGCAAACGAGTCACATTCCTCGTGGCCTGTGGTCCCCACTCCGTCCAGACCCTGAGAAGTCCTTGTGGCCACCATTGTCACGGCTGACATTTACTGGGCAGTTACACTGAGTTTCGCATGTCCGTTTATCCTTGTAACAGCCTTCTCAGATTACTGTCCCAAGTCTAGCACATAGACGATCGTTTCCGTGCTCAGAGTCTCGTACGTAGTAAGTGGTAGAGCTGGGGTTTGAGCCCACGGCATCCTGACTCCGGGGAATATTTCTTTTTATTGGTTTTTAGTTCACCTGAGTACATGGACTTGCCGTTGTTTTACAAGGAAGCCGCTGAAGTCAACAAGACCCAGCATAAAAAAATGTTCAATATCCCAGGCAGTTGGGTTCCAGTTTATGAAGCTTTTGCTTTCATTTGTGCACATCTGTTTTAGGGGTAACCTTTTCTTCTGCTGGTAGCTCTGCCTTTACACATACATAGTCACCTATAAATACGCACAGTGCTGGGCGCACATTAGGCCCTCAGTAAATGTCACTGTAGTTCCACCTGAGAATCTCGCTCTGCATTTCTTTTCAGTTCTTTTTTTTTTTTTTGTAGAGGAAAATATTTTTTCTGATTCTTTTATCAGTCTATGTGTGTGATATATAATCACATCTCCTGTTCATGGAACCAGTATGTACCTGTATCAAATCTTGATCGTTTCTGCTTCCCCAGCCTTCCTCTGTTCCTCTTTCTCCAGCTCCCTTTCCCATCTTCGCAGGGTTTGCCAGACTGCGTGTGTTGACTGCCCTGGTGGCTGTGACACCGAGACATTAGCAAGATGAAGCTAAACTGTCCCTTGCTTCTCAGTTACTCTGGATAAACACTGAGCTCTTCACCACACTTTGAGTCGCAGTTCAGGCAGAAGCTGACTCTAACGTGCACTTGGGCAGGCTGTGACACACACCACACTCCTAGCCGGAGAATGTGGCGAAAGACCCTCCACGTCTCACGCCCGGAGACTCGCATTGTATACAGACGTGATCAGCATTCCCGAATCCGAATCCAGCTCCAGGAACAATGCCTGTGAGGACACCGTTGGCTTCTTATAGAAGAGAAGAGCCAGACTGGCCAAAATCAGCAGTAGGGTTGGATTACCTCGTTGGTATAAACAGTGATCGCCTCCTCCAGGACAGACCCACATATCCTGAAGGCATCTCACTGCCTCATCTTTAAGACTGAGGCCAAGTGTGAGCCAGTTGTTACACGTCGCCCATCGTTCAGCTTATACAAGTCTTCCAGCATGTTTAAACAAGTCTTTTCCAAAGATACGGGATTTTTTTTTTTTAATAATGAAAATGAACGTGAAGAATATTATGAAACTAAATACTTGGAAGAAAGTACTCCTCCATGCTGGAAGGTAGCTCATAGGTGATATTTGACCTACATGAAAGGGCTTATTCCATGCAGCTTATGGCTGTTCCTGTTTCCCTTCTTCCCTTGAGACTGAGGGTGTTCACCTTGCTCTCCCCACCCTCTTCACCTGAGTGGTAGCCCGTCATGCGACACGGAGGGTGGTCTGTGACAGTGGGAGGCAGAGGCTGGAACCGGAGCCCTGAGGCACCGATCTGGTTCTACTGCTTCGTGTTGCAAGTCCACTCAACCCTCAGAATCTTCGTTTCCTTGCTAGTTAAACTGAAATCACACTCCAAAAGCCCAACACTAAGTTTTATTCTGCCTTTCAGAATATCGGGAACATCGATGTTTTCCATCACTGTGACAAAATACCTGAGATAATCAACTTAAAAGAGGAGAGGTTAGTGTTAGCTGACAGCTTTGGAGGTGAAGTCCCTGGCCTTGTTGCTCAGGCCTGGCATTGCACAGGGCACGGTGCTGGGCATGCGAGGCAGAGGCAGCTGCTCACCTCCGGGTGCCCCTGGCGTGCATGTCCCCTGGGACCTGAGCTCTTCCTGCCAGGCCTCAGCTCTTTCAGTAGCCACCACCTCTCAGAGTGCCACCCATTAATCCATGGGCCCTCAGGGCCGTTCCCCAGAGCCTCCCAGTGAGGAGCAGGAACATGTCTGTAACGATCCTGGCACTGGGGATATTCCCTTGTCAGCATCCACAGTCCTTGGGGTTCGGCCCAGGGCTCTGCTGCACGGCGGCTGCTGGGACATCCCGGAGGAAGAAGCTTCACGCTGCAGTAGGAGACATTCTAGGTGACTGTGCGAAGAGCTGGGGTAGAAAGGGATCTAAGAGGCACAGGGGGACAGGAAGTTGTCAGCCCAGAGCTGGCCACAGAAAGGGAGCATCGTCTCCCAGCATTCGTTGCTATCATTTCTTTCTTTTTTCTTTTTTGGTACTGGGGATTGAACTCGGACCCTTGTGCTTGCGAGGCGGGTGGCAGAACCATTGAGCCGAACCCCTGGCCCTTGTTGCTATCATTTCTGACCTAGCGGAAAAGAAATCTGTAGGCCTTGAATACTTAAACTTCTCAGAAAGGTTCGGACAGTGTTCCAAAGTGGTATTGACTAGGAGACGGATTAGGAATATTTGCAGAGTTCTAACTTGGGCAACACACAGTATCCACAGATGGCAATTTCTCAGAGTGGAAGAGTGAATCAGATGCGAAATCCCCCTGGGGTCAATTTCAGAACCACAGTTGTGAATAATGCTGTATGTAAAAGTCATAAGCTGGTGAAATTCCGTTTCCAAGTTTGCAGATGATATAAAAACTAGAGGTAGAAAAGATAGGGGAAAATAAACCAGTTTCAATTTGGTTTGGCTTGTTTCCTGTTCAGAACTAAAAGAAATGGAGATGACAAATGTTTTCCCTGGTTGAGAGTATAAGAATAGCAAGCCAGAGAACTAGGAACCATCCCAGTGACTACACAAGCCTCACCAGCAGAGAACAAAATACTGAGAGTCGATGCAAAGATCACAGACTGACCACCGAGAGTCAGCAGGTAGAGCTGATGTCAGGGACATCAGACACGACAGCGTGACAGCCAGTCGCTCAGGTGAAACACAGATAGCTCCACCTGTCCTTGAAAGGCCGGGGGTCTGCCGGGATGCCACTGATAGTTTATTCTTCCCGGAAGTGTTGTCTTAGCAGATGGCAGAGTTCTGAAAAGTGAGTTAAAAATTTTGTGCAAATGAATAAAATTAAACAACTCTGGGCAGCTGAGGCAAGAGTGTCTGGAGTTCAGTCCCAGTTTGAGAGCTTGGTGACTTGTGAGACTGTGTCAGAATTTACAGTAAGAGGTCTGGGGATATAGCTCCATACAGAGGCCCTAGCTTCAAGCCTCAGTACCACAAAGAAAGAAAAAGCAAGGGAGGGAAGTAGGAAGGAAGGCAGGAGGGAGCGGGGAAAGAGAAAAAGAAAACTGAGACAAACCAAAAGTGAAAATCCTTTCACATTGAGGTCAGAGATTAACCAAAATTTCTGGTAAAAGACCAAACACTAAATAGTTTTGGGTTTCTGGGCCACCATATTTCTGGCCCAACTACTCAATTCTGCCTTCATATTATGACAACAGCCATAGATGGTACTTAAACCAGTGCAGTGGAGTTCCAGTAAAACTTCATTTACAAAAGAAGCAGCCAGCTGGAGCTGAAAGATCTTCCTATCCTAGGTAAATAATAAATCCAGTCACTCATTTCATGCAGAGGTTTAGAGATCGAAATAAATTACTCAGCAAGCATATAAAACTGCACCTATCAGCAAGCTCAAGACTTCATGAATTTCTAAAGCTAAAATTTTTGGCAAAAAGTATGAGGACAGGGTTAGGAATGTGTGGTCATGTGGCCTTTCCCATTCTCAAAATATTTTCTATACTCCATCTGAGCAATCACTGTGAAGCTTCCGGCATTAAATAACTTTTAGTTGGCAATTACAGTAAAGCAGAAAAGGATAAAAAAAAAGTGGCCCTAGCCAAATGGTAATAAGACACTCTTCATGAACCTTAAATCAATTCTCCCAACTATCTGTGCAAAATAAAACAACCATGCAAGCTTCTGGGCTACTATAATTTTGGGTTTCATAAAAAAATTCTTATGCCTAGAGGCCATCTTCTCGCATCATTCTTTTACCTCCTGCTTGAAACTATCTAAAAACCAGACTTTGGTGATTTTCCATTTCCCTGAGTAACTGCGAACCTAGGCGAACCTAGGCACAAATTATTCCCCACCAAAAATGATGCCAAACCACTTGCTTTCCTATTGCACCCTGGTGGGAGCCAGGATGTGGTCAATTTAGGAAAGGTTAAAGGTCACTCTCCCATTCCACTGAGCAAGCAAATGATTCACCTTCTTTGAGCTTTTGCCTCCTCTCTAAAATGGGAAAATGATGACAGTCTAGCCAATTGGTAGTAAGAATAAAATGCTATAAAGTGTGTACACTTGTCTAGTAAATACTGGTTCCCACTCCCCTTTGTGGTATGTTTTTTCCTAATGTGAGAAATCCTTGAACAGGAAAAGAAATCTTTGTTTCAGGAGCAGGAAAAGACCTCACTGTTGCTTCCCCTGCATAGGAGTTTGGGGCTAATCTTCATTTCCCAGGCTGCTTTCAATGTGCTTATTTGCTCCCGCGTGTACTGTTTCCAACTGTCATTCTTTTGCTCTTGCTGTTTATGTGCTTGCCTCAAATTGCAGGATTCTGGCTGTTTTCTCAGTGTCTGAAGTGTCAGTATTCAGGTCATGGTGTTAAAACAGCCATGGACTGCTCTCTGGCCTGGTGCAGAGTCCCTGTGTTCAGGCGCCACCAGCCCAGAGTGGCCTGGGGCCTCATTCTCGGCTCTTTTCTACCCCCTGGCCTCTCAGGCAGAAAACCCCATTCCCGCCTCATATTTCTGGTCTGTTTTTCCCCTAAATTCCCTATACTTTTCAGTTCTTTATCCGTATCCAAACACCTCCTCGCAACATCCAGGATACAGAGGCTCAGCCATGGATAAAGGCGGGGATGCCGATGACGGTGTAGCAGAATAAATACTAACCTCCCTCTGGAGCTGGCCCGTCCCAAGCCTGCTCTCTGTACTTTAAATGCACTGCACGTGTCTGGTTCTTACAAAATGCCTAGGCAGGCCCTGTCATCCTCTCTTCGTGGATCGGGGACTTTGTACTCATGAGTTCGGTAAGTTACGTCCCCGGTCTGCAGAGCTGCTAAGTGTAAAGCTGGCGCCGGAGTCACTGTAGCTTTCAAGTCTGAGTTCCAGCCTGCTGTCCTCTGTGCCGCCTGTAGTTGTGATCACTTTTAGCCTTGTTGTTTTGCTCTGTTTTGTTGTTGATGTTGCTGCTGCTGCTTTTTAGGGTTTTCTTTTGTGGGGATTAGACCAGGGTCTTCACACTGTGCTACAACCCCCAGCCTTTTCTTATTTTTTATTTGGAGACAGGATCTTGCTAAGTTGCCCAGGCTGGGCTTGAATTTGCAGTCCTCCTGACTGAGCTACTTAGAGTTCTGAGATTACGGGCATGTGCTACCATGTCCAGCTTCAGCCCCACTGTTTTCAAGGAAACAGAATACCTGTTGATTAAATATTTATTCGGCCTTCCAGCATTGTGCTGAATAGGGAAGCGAGAACTATAAAATGAGTCTCCACCCTGGAGGTAATAAATTACAATCTGAGGAAATAAGACTAGTTAGAAAGGGCTGTTAAAGCAGCTTAGAACAACTGGAATACCACTGTGAAAATGTACCAGAACTAGAACTTGAACTAATTCTTAAGGGATGGGAGAGCCTTCAAGGGTAGCCAGGAGGAGAAACACCCAAGCTAATGCCAAGGGCAGCCACAGAGGCCATCTCGACTGGGGTGGGAAGTTTTTGTGAGGATATGGGGCATATGATGTTGGAAAACATCTTCTGAAGACAATATGCCTGTGATTACCAGCTTCCAGATCCACGTGTAGGCCTCTCGTGGGTTTAGCAATGCTTGCTTCTTGGCAGGGGAGGCCTAAGTGGTATATCATGATTCATGTAGTAGAGAGGCCTCTCAGGAGGGAAATTCCAGTCAGGCTACGTAGGTTATATTAACTATACTATGAAAAGCAAACCAGAGAACTATTTATTAAATATATGATAGCTAAGCTGTACTTGGAAAATAGTGAGAATGAGTCCATATACTTTCATCTGATTGTTGTCAGAGCTTCCTGAGGTCAGTATCATCCTGGGTGTACAAAGCAAACTCAGAGGCTTACACTGTGGAATGACTTGCCCAAGACACATGCCTCCGGTGTGAGTCTTCCTCCACGCAGCAGCCTCTCCTGGCAGGTTACTAGGGCCGGTTGGAAAGAGGACTTTCACAGACAGTGGTATTAAGAGTTGAACCAAGGATCGAAAAGACATCCTGGTACCACCCCGCTCAAAGAGCTACAAGACTTCCCTTTGTACACTCAGAGCCACCTCTCTTCACGTAAGAACATGTTAGTACCGAACACTGCAAATGCAGAGGGGACACCTTAAATTCAAGAAGATCCTACTTGGAAGGCCTGGCCCATGAGCATTTTGTCCATATCTTACACACTTGCATGACAAGAATTCTTACTTATGTAACTAAAACAGTTTTTTTGTACTCTCTGGACTGGTCCTTACAAGACTACACAAAACCAAAACTGCACCTTTCTTTTCTGACTAAAAGTACTGTCAAAGAAATAAAGCAGTTAAGTTTTAGCCCAGTTAAACCAACAGGGAAGCGAAGTGTGGGCCTGGGCAGAGAGTATTAGTACATCTAATATGACCACAGTACCCTCTGTTGTGTAGTTCTTAATTATGTCCAGTCTGTGTCCCCTCATCTTCTGACTTCTTAAATTCCAAAACCACACCAGAGAAATATTTCTGGTTTTGCTTGGAAAGCAGCCCCATTTGTGCCTACACATTCTAAAACAGGCTTGTCAAATTCGAAACTCAAATACAAGCTGACAGAAATCAGCTACTAACAAATTAAGTTAAATTAATAAACTAGAGGCCTGAAATACAATGTTTTTTCTGGAATCTTTCTCCCTAGTTGCCAGACTAGAGACTGAGGCAAACCTTGGTATTAACACCAAGCCCTTTCTTTTGCCTTATAATGCTTCCTAGAGAGCCCTACATGAAAATCATCTCCAGAACTCTTGCTCCCCCTGGTGGCAGCCTCCAAGCCCTTGTCTACCAATGATCTGCCAATATCCTGGGCCTATTGTAACAACAATAGGAGTCCAGTCCCCCCACCCCCGGTTCAAAAAAGGAAAATTATGCTGTAGTACATTGTTTGGGTGCAATATCCAAGTGGGCCAGATATACCACATTTACGGGATGCTTTTTAATTACAAGAAGAAAGTTCAACCGGACAGATTTTCTGGTAGTCTCAAAGTTATCATGGGACCTGGGGCGAGTACTGAATTAAGAGGAAGAAAGCCAATCGCTTACACTAACTCTGCCTCCACATAACTGTTCGCTTGAGCTAGAGAGCTAAGCTTATGATACAGTTTACAGGTATGCACGAGTGACCAGTGTAAACTTTGCCCCATGTAGATTTTGTCTCAGGACAAGAGTTAAGACTTTTTTTAAAGGCAAATGTCATAGCTTCTTTGTCTTTGTGTACACAGTTTGTAGAACAAAACCATTTGTGGTTACTGAATCTCATGTCCATATTCCTTCCATTTTCAGTATTCCTATCCTAATTTAAACCCTTACAGTAGATCCCTCCCTTCTCTTCACTAACTGCAGGAATTATTTTTCAGGCTTCATATCGGGACAGAAAGCGTCATGGCTTAGTTAGCAGCGTCAACGCCTGGAGGAACTGATACAGTTACAAAAGTGAACCCATTTCAAAAGTAAAATAAAAATTTACATTCAGTTCAGGCCCAAGCCAGGGGGTAGAGATGGGGTTATACCATTTGTATAAGATCAGGCCGGCAGAATGTTTCTATTTTAAAAGTACACGTGAATGGGGAAGTCTCGGGAGGCTGGGCCACATCAGGGGCGCCCACTCGCTCATCACTTTCCTGTCACATTATTTCACCATCCGGAGAATCCAGCATTGATGACAGGGGGGCTGGAAATAGCAGAGAACGGCCTGGAAGTTCCCTGTGTACCTTTGTGTAACCATTTCCTCTGCTAAATTGGAAAATAGACTTCAGGCTGGGCTTTAAGAAGCTGATAAACTGAAGTGTAGGAAGAAGATATTTGCTAATGACCGTTACTTAAATCATAGCAAGACCAGAGCAAAATTAAGGGAAAAAAAAAAACTGTCCCCAAGCCTCCTGTACTAAGCATTCAATTCAGGAGCGCTTTCTGCAGGGAGAGGAGAGATGCTGCTAGCTGTGGGATGGCAGCTATTCTAAATCCCTGCCTGTTGGGTGAATGAAACTGAAGGGTGATCTGTAAGATCCAGTCAATCTGAGTCCCGTTCCTGGTCGTTAGAACACAGTTCTGAACGTCAGGGTCCTTCCTGCTCCCCATGTTGAATGCCACTGAAGTGTCGGCTGACTTGACCAGGTCTACATTTCTGTTCTGTTCCTCCAGGATTCTTCTGCAGCCAGATGATTCCTTACAGATCTTGGCGCCAGTGGAAGCTGATGTGGGTTTCTACACTTGCAATGCCACAAATGCCTTGGGCTACGACTCTGTCTCCATTGCCGTCACATTAGCAGGTAACCTAGAAACTTGTTGGGTTCTGTTACTGAGTTGGCTCTACTGAGTGAGGCTGCACAGTGCGTCACACAGGCCCCGAGATCAATGCTACAGACTTGCGCGGCAGGGAGTTTAAAATCTGTAACCAGGACGGAGTTGAAGCACAGTATGAAACTGGAGGAAGTCAGTGCTAAGTGATAAGCAGAGAATATGCAAGTCAGTTTTAATCCAGCTGGGCAGTCTTAGGCGTGGGCAAGTAGAAGTTTGATAAGCAAAAATGGGAAGCGTTCTGGGCAGAACGAGTAACCGGGAGCAGGTGAAGCCTGCAGGTTGGGAGCGCTGCGGGGACCATGAGCCGAGTGCCCGTGGGCGTCCCGGCGTCTCCCCTTGCCCGTGTGTTGTAAAGACTGAGATCTGCAGGCAATGGGAATTCTACTTCACACCTTGGAGCACACGTGTTCCCCTGAGAGTCTCTGGCTTCTGCTTTGCTTCAGTCACGGGCTCTAATGCACCTGCCAGCACTTTGCCTACATTCAAAGAAGCTGACCCCCGATCCTGCACAAGTGACCTGAGGAGATGCCGCCCAGAGGTCCAGTCTCCCAGATCGCAGTCTTGCAGTAATGTACTTTTACAAAACCTCTATACACAGGACACATCCGTGCCTCGGAAACGGAAAGAGACCTTACATAGCAGCTGGGTCAGTGCCCATTTCTCAAAGGCAGAGCAACCTAAGGCCCTGTAGCTGCCCAGCTAGTGGGGACCTGAAGGAAGGGAACTGAGGTCAGCTGATGCCCAGTGCCTTGCCTCACTGATCCTTTTTCTCAGAACGATGTACAGTCTGTGACAGCGTTGCGCGTGCTTGTATTTGTTCTTTTCAACTGCTGTTCCCTCAGATGATTCAGGAGATGCTAGGAAAGCCAGCATCACCACACTGACCTCATCTGTCCATGCCAGGATTATGTTGTCACACTGTACTCCGGCAACACAGGCTACTCCCTTGTATATCTGTTTAGCAGCAGTATTTCTACCCCTGTGACCACGGCTAATCTGGGAAGGGACCTTAGCGGGCAGCTTTGCTGGAAAGATGAAAGTAAACAAGGAGGAAGGCAAGCTAAGGGGCCGCAGGATAGATTACAGACTGACGTTATTAATGGCTGTTTTTCAGCGGACAGGACATTTGCTTTTCTCTAATGTATTCCAGTTGTGGTCTTTAGTCTCCTCTTCCTGCAGAGTCCAGATGCTCAACTCCAGTCTTGTTAAATCTCTTCTGCCGTCCACCCTCCATCCCGCCCTAGCAGAGGCACTGCTGACCTCCTTCCTGTCGCTAGCAGAGACTCACTGTTACAGGATTGACGCTTTTGTTTGTATTTTCCCAGCTAGGGTTCATCTCTGTCACAGACTCAATTCTCTTTGTTCACCCTAATTTAAAACAATTAATGGAAACCTGTCTGGAATTAAGCAAGGCAGTTGTAACATCAGGCTTGTCTTCAACCCTTTGAAAAGGATCTGTTGGAAGCTGCCACAGGTTCAAAGCCAGAAAAGAGAAACAGAGCAGGGCAAGGTGCCAGAGAAGGGCAGAAGAGACTGGCCGGCAAAGCATCACAGACTCCACACCCGGGGTCTAGGGAGCGGAGTCCTGAGGGTTGTCTGGGTCTGCTGGTGACTCTGTCACACAGACCTTTTAAAAGTAAACGTTCAAAGTATGTGCGATGCCTTAAGAATATATCTGCATCTTTCTCTGGAATTATCGTCTCCATCTGGGTGATATCTGTGCTCACAGAATGAGGTGTCTCATTCGTTACTGGGGAGAGTGTGCTCTCCAGGTGTTCTGAGATGTGTAGTGGCAAACCCAGCACGCTCTGCTCTGTGTTGTTTACATTTCAGCGAAGGCAGTAGATGGAGATGTGACTCCCTAGAATTGAGAAACCACTACAATTTACTCTGGGTTTATGCACCAAGATCCTGCTCTGCATTATGTAAGATATCTAAATATAATTTAATCTGAGGAGAATGGATGTTGAGCATTTAGAATTTGATTACCAGTTACATTGCTTATTAGCTTTATGATCTTAAACAAATTATATAGCCTCATTAAGTCTCAGGTCTCATCTATAAAAATGAAGTTAATGCTATTTCACAGGGTTGGTGTAAGGTGAAGAAGTTTGTAGACATGAAGAAATTCTCATCCACCTCATTCATGCTCGATGAACATTAGCTTCCTTTTTTTCTCTCTCTTTCTTCTAGGATTAAACATATTCTGAAAACAGTCCTAAAATGTGAAAAACATTGATGTCCATATTAGTCAGGTTTTCATCATTGTGATCAAATACCTGAGAAAAGCAGTGTAAAGGAGGAAAGGTTCATTTTGTCTTACGGTTTCAGAGGTCTCAGTCCATGGTCAGCTGGCTCCATTCCTGTGGGCCTGAGGTGAGGCAGGGCATCATGGCAGGAGGCTGTGGCAGAGGAAGCTATTTTCTTCCTAGCAGCCATGAAACAGAGAAAGGGAAAGAACCTCCGTAAAGGAAAGAGCTGTTTCCAGGGAGACGCCCCCGTAATTCCCTCCCTTCAGCTTGGTCCCACTGTTTCTGTCACCTCCTGATAAGGTCATCACTGATGAAGTTTAAGCCTCAGGGTCCAGTCAGTTCTCAAAAGCCCATCATCAACCACACGTCCCACACAGTGAGCCTTGGGGGACACAGACCCAAACCATGAGAATCCAACCTTGCTTTCGCATGTTTTTCAGTTGAAATCTTAACACTGACTTTTTTTCAAGTATGGACTTAGTTCACTCCAGTCAAATCCTCATGATAAATTTCAGTGATGCTATGTTTTTAAAGAAATTACATTTTTGCCTGGACTTGAGTATAACTGTAGGTCAAAACGAAATTTTTTTGTCTCAAGATCATCAAGTATCCCCATGATGTCATAAGGAAAGTATGGACTTTGGTCTTGCCGTTGTGCCTGCCTTGACCAAATACAGAGAAATTTGCTTATGACAGTTCACAAGGGCAGGCAGAATATGGCCATTGGGCCTGTGGGCTCCAGAGCCTCGGGCCTGGCTTTGGCTCGCAGCTCTTTGTGAGCAGCCCCTTTAACCCTGCTGACTGGCTTTCTCCCTCTCTGAGGTGGTGATGATGGCGGTGCCTGACTCAGTGCTCATGAGGACTGAACGGACTCATCCTACAGATGCTTCCAGTTGTGCCTGGCACATAACGAGAACAGGTGTTGTTATTCTAGGACTAAGAGCAATGCCCAAAAGCAAAGTCGGCTTGGGCTTTCATGAAGGGGGAATCCTTTTCTCAGAGGCCAGGATGCTCATTAGCCCTTTTGTAGCAGCTTCTCAGTGTCATGGTGGCAGCTGGAGGTGCTGGATGAGCCACGCAGGCAGTGGTTGGGGCACCTGGCCAGAGCAGGAGAGGCCACTCGAGATGAGGTGCTCCACATGGACCCCAGAAAGGGGCAAAGAGCACGCTGTCCTCCAGCGAGGCCTCGCCCTGGGTCTGGTGTGCCCAGTTCTGCCTCTCGGATACAGTTTAGTTCCATTGCTTACTCTACACAACTTTTCTTTAAATGTGAATACATGATTTACTTTCAGGTTTACCCATTCCAGCCAACCTGCCTTGCCCCCGCCCTTTTTGGGGCTACAAAAAGTACTGTCTTTGGGGCCTTTTCCTCTCTCCGGCTCATTGCTATGTGTCCATTTTATCTTTATCTTGTAAGCCTCCAGCTGTGAGAGTACCCTGAGTTGACTCCACATGGGGCTGGCCCGTGTTTTCCCTCCCTGCGTCTCTGGGACAGCCCCAGGGACGCACAGCCTCATGGGCCCAGAGACACGAGCTCCTTTCTCAGCTTGCTTAACCAGTGCCTGATTCGCTGCCCTCGGTGTAGACCAGAGTATCTTACAGGGGAAGGGGGACTGAGGGGAGGACCTTTAAGCATGTCACAGAATATCCCCAGCCTAACATTTTCTGGTATTGATTACTTTGCAGACAGGTTTAACTAGGACTGGGTAGAGAGGCGTGCTCAGGGTGTGCAGAGATAAGAACAGAGATTGCAGAGCCCCTTTAGCCACAGATTCAGCTCCCAGCCTCCGACTCCCAAATCCAAATGACATCACAGAGTTTTAAAGGACAGCAGTAGTTTCCCAGTCGGTTGCTTCAGTCTGGATCAGTGGTGCTTAGCTGAGGCGCTTAACTCCCCAGATGTGGACTGCTGCTGAGGGCAGAACCAAGGGGGAAACACCTCCAGTTGTCATTGATTTTATAAGACCACAGGGGTTACTGTGAGCCCCACCTGACATCATCAGTGGACAATGAGAAGGTGAGGGCTGAGGGATGGGTGCATCTCTTATGGAAAGGAGAGATCACAGATGAGCTCATTGATTTCTTCACAGGAAGGGAGAAACAGAAAATAATTTTCCCTTGCCTGGTACTTCCTGTCCTCTTTTTCGTGAGTTGAACAGCTGACATACTGTGTCACATAAAGAGATTAAAGTTGCTTCCCTGGGAAAATAGCAGTAAAAGGTAGTTGTCTTTATAAAGTCTTCATTCTCTGCCCCTCCTCGTCATGATAAGGATGAGCAGTTGTGTAGGACTTTCACAGTGTAAGTCACTCCGAATTGGTGTGTCTGGACTTTTCTTCTCCCACTCTGTTGTCCAGAGCAGGGCCTTGTTTGTGGTGAGTTACCCTGAGGGCCTTGTCACCTGGGCATCCGCTCAGTGCGCAAGACCAAAGGAAAGGACGCGGACTTGACTGTGTTCCTAGTAATTCTCATGGCTGTGTGGCAGGGGCTCCATCAGCACCTCAGTCTGGACAGAACACTGAGTGGTCAAAGCCCATGCTTTCCTCAGTCTAGAAGCGACGGTGGCCTCCCTCACCCCTGCTTTTTCCTGATCACCTATTCTGAAAGCTTTTGATACAGTGCCCTGGAAACATTTTTAGCATTGTCATAGCAGAAGTGTATCATTTATTATTTTATTCCTTCTCTATATGTTTTCCTTCTTGGTTTTCTTCTGTAATT